AATTTTAAGTAATAGATGGATCTTTCATGTGAAAGACAGAAGATATAAAATGAGAATTGTTGTTCGAGGTTATGAACAAAAGTACGAATTTGACTACGAAGAAATCTTCAGTTCAGTGATCAATATTCTTTGAGGATAGTGCTGGCTTTAGCAGCTCGGATGAATATTATGGAAAAGTTTGATGTTAAAATAGCCTTTTTAAATGAGTCTGACAGAGGACATATATATATGGAAATTCCAGAGGGAATTTCCATATATATGTCCTCTGTCATATAGCAAGAATCTTGAGAAAATATGTAAATTGAAGAAGGCGTTATATGGTCTAAAACAGACACCCTTAAGGTAGAATCAGAGTCTTACAGATGTATTGAAGTCCTACGGAATGAAACATTAAAGTGAATCATTTTTGTGAATAAAAATCATTCTGTAATTCTAGCGTTATATGTAGACGATGGAATTGTCATTGGAAATATCAGATTCGAAGAACTAATATCCAGCATTAATAACAAAAATTTATTTTAACAAATTTATTTAAAGATACTAATCCGACATCTTTTCTAGGTATTCAACTAAAAAGGAGTCAAATTAGAATAACATTAAAACAAAAAGACTATGCTAAATCATGCTAAGTAAATTTGGAATAGAGGATGCAAAAGTGTCAAGGATTCCTTTGTCATCAAGTGAGAAAGAAATCAGATTGGAGAATACCGGACTGGAAGACATGTCATCTAATTTCCTTATTGACAGTGCGTTAGTAATATATATTTAACTAGCAAAACTCGTCGAGATTTGTCATACGCTAGTGGTTATGTAAATAGGTAGGAATTAGATAAATACACTAAACAAAATGTAATAATCTGCTTAAAAAATTTGATAAAAAATGGTAGGAATTTATAGAAAATCTGATAAGAATTCTATATAATTTTTATCAAAATTATTCTATCATATCTATCATTACATTAAAATCACGACAGATGAAAAGTTATAAATTTCTATCTATATTTTCTATATTATCTATATTTCGTTTTTTTTATATCTTATATTAGATAAATGATAAAATACTTATCGGAGATCATAAGCTTCTCTATATGATTCTCCTCACATTATCCGATTTAATAAGAAAGAATGTTTATACGAACCAATACAATTTAATCCTAATACGCCCCTATATGTTTGAATAAAACAGATGTTATAAAAAAATTATTATCCTATTGCAATATAATATAACATTCTTCAGATCATTGAACAATTATTTTGCAGATTTTAGCATATATAATAAAGCTGTTAATACAATATCATTTTATATCTTATCTTATTTAAACGATAGAATAATTAACTGTATACACAAGCTTCTTTGTCACATGATTTAAATTAAAATAAGGATGATTTATACGAATCTATACAATTTAATCCAAAAAGGTCCCTATATGTTTAAATAGTTAGATGTTATAAAAAAATTATTCTACCGTTGTATGTAATTAATTATTCATTTAAGTCATTGAGTAATTAATTATTTAATGTTAATTAATCTAAATATTACATTGTGTTACCAACTATAGAATACGATAATTTTTCCATAAAATCTATCTTATTCTAACATATAGGATTAACATTCTGGATTAAATTATATAGATTCTTATAAACATTATATCGTTTTTATTATATAGCTTAAATATCGTTTTTAATCGTAAATTTCAGATTCCTTACCTGCTATATTAAATAAATTTTCTGTATATTTGTCTATTGTTTTCGTCATATAGCTTAAATACCGTTTTGAATCTATTTCTATTTGATCTGATGTATTAAAATTAATAATATTCTATCATATCTTTAAGCGTAAATTTCAGATTCTAAAATTTAATTTCAGATTCTAAAAATTTACAAAGCAAAAACACGAAAGAATATTATTAATTTTGATAGAATATGGTCAGAAGATAAAAATTGAAAACGACATCTGAGCTGAGGAAAATAATAGAAGTATAGAAACTCTATCAAATATTTTAGATAAGTAATCTGAAATTTATAATTCAAAAAGAATGTTATTAATTATTATAATTTTCATAAAACGTGTCCAGATAAAAATTGTTTAAAAACGATAATTAAATATGATGAAAATGATAAAGAAAATGATATAGAAAATTTATAATAGACAAGTATCTAAAATTTGAGATTAAAACGATACTTAAGGTATATGATAAATGTGATATAATGTTTATAAGAATCTATGTAACTTAATCCAGAAATGTCTCTATAATCACATTCTCTCTATTATCACATGCTAAGTATCTAGACAAGCGTGCGATTATAGCTCAGCGTTAGAGTGCTAGACTATTACCCTAGGGTCTTAGGTTAGAATTCCGTCGATTCCAATATGTGTTTTTAAAAATTGTAAATTTTCGATGTATAATTGTAATTAATAAATTGCATGTGAAAATATAAATGAATTCTACAAAAGAATAATAGAAAATAACTGTATTTTAATTATTATAAACTTAATTATTATAAGCTTTTTTTAAAAATAATATGAAATTTACGATTAAAACAATACAATATTAAGCATGATAAAACATAACCAGATAGAAATTGATTAAATACGATATATATATATATATAATACGATATAAGCTATATGACAAAAAAGATAGAGAAATATAGAAAATCTATCAGATATTTCAGATAAATATTGGGAGTACATAATAAATTTCCGCCGTTTTTTATCAAAATTAAGCATTTATTGTGAAAGAACGGTACATAATGTTTTATTCAAAATAATGACCATCGCTAGCCACTATTTTTTCCCATCTTTCTGGTAGCATGTGGATACCGCATCAGAAGAACGCTTTATCTTTTGAGGTTATCCAATCATCGATACAATTTTTGGTTCTTCATATGATATGAAGTATGCTGAAACAGGCCATGCGTCATCGATCGGAACAAGTGGTAGTCGGAAGGAGCAATGTCTGGAGAATACGGCAAGTAGGGTAGAACTTCTCATTTGAGTGTTTCTAAGTAGGTTTTGATCGGCGCCGCAACATGTGGTCGAGCATTATCAGGAGAATAATTTTGTCATGCCTGGAATAGCAGTAGCGCGTTTTTCCTTGAGTGCTCGGTTCAATCTCATCAATTGTGTTCGGTAGAGAGCCCCAGTAATGGTTTCGTTCGGTTTGATTAACTCATAATACATGACACCAAGCTGATCCTATCAAATACACAACATGAGTTTTTTTCCATGAATATTCGGCTTGGTTATCGATGTTGAAGCAGGTGGTCCCCATGATTTCCTCTTCTTTGAGTTATCGTAGTGGATCCATTTTTCATCACCATACGATGCAAAAAACCCTTTCGTTTATACCTGGCAAGCAGCATTTCACATGTGAAAAATCGGCGTTCAACATTTCTCGGCTTCAGTTCATATGGAACCCAATTCCCTTGCTTTTGAATCATTCCCAATGATTTCAAACGATATGGAATTGTTTGTTGAGTCACTCCTAATGTAAGTGCAAGTTCTTTTTGCGTTTGGCACGAATCTTCATCCAAGAATGCTTCCAATTCCGCGTCTTCGTATACTTTTGGCCTTCCTCTGCGTTCTTTGTCTTCGACGTCAAATTCACCGTTCTTAAACTTTTGAAACCATTCACGACAACTTCTCTCACTTAAGGCAGCATCATCATATACTTCTACAAGCAATCTATGAGCTGCAGATTTCTTCAAATTATTAAAGAAGTAAATCAAAAGTTCCCGCAAATGACGCTTATTCGGCTCAAAACTCGACATTTTCGTAAAAAAAATATATGATGCTGATACAAAATCGCTAATATTTCAAAGTTATGGTGTTGCCGGATGTCCAATCTTACGATATGTCGTTTTACATTAAACAATTTTAACTATAGTTTATTAGTGGCGCTGTTTTTTGCAAACGGTGGAAACTTATTTGTACTCCCAATAATCTAAAATTTACGAACCAAAAATACGATTCAATCAGATAAAGTTTTTTCCTATCTGATTTTATTGGACTTTTTAAGCAGGGAAATGTAAAACAAATATTGCATTACGTAAAAAGATATATCAGACAAAGGAATAGCATTTGAGAGATCGGTTATATCAGAAAATGTGGAATATTTAAATTGTTTTGTAGACTCAGACTATGCGGGTATGATATAAATTCGCGTAAAAGTACATCTGGTTTTATAATATTATATTTAAATTATCCAATTAGTTGGAGTTCTAAAAAACAATTGATAGTAGCGTTCTAGTACAAAAGCAGAATTTATTGCGGCAGCGGAATGCGTAAAAGAGATAATGCATTTGAAAGCTCTGCTAAAAGAACTTGCAGAAAACTCTATAAAAATTACATTGACAATCAGAGATACTATACAAATTATCAAAAATGGAATAGGAAACAAACGTAGCAAACATATAGACGATAGCTATCATTATTTAAAAAAAAATACTCTGAAGATATATTAGATTTATGTTATTGTTCAACTGATGAATAACTAGCAGATATATTTACAAAGCTTCTAAGCTTCAGTTTGAAAAGTTTAAAAATACAATTATGAAAGATTAACATCAAAATCATAAAAATAAGCTGTCATTAAAATTTTTAAATTAATATTTTAATAAAAAATAAGTTCATTAAGTTTAAAAAATTTCAAATTAATATTAAATTAATATTTCTACTATAAAATTCAACGATTAAGAGAAGGTGATAAGATAATCATCTAAATGTTGTTATATTTTAAGCTGATTGTTAATGTGATATGAAGTCGAAATTATTGATTGATTCGTTTGTTTAGTTTGCTTTTTTTGTCTCTTACTCTCCTCTTTGGGAGCATTTCCTTTATTATTAAGTTGTGCATTTATATTTTGAAATAATAAACTTGTTTAAAATTAACAAAGGCTATACAATAAAATCTTATCATAAAATAATAATATATTGTTAATTATATTATTGATTATAAATATATAATTCACGTAATATCCATGTTTCCATGTTTCAGGCCTGTGCATAATATGGAGTCTATTTGCTAGTTCTATCTCATACACCGAAGAATTCGTGCATTACCGCACTTATCGTAAGTAACTTTCGTTTCGACAAAAGTATTCTTGTTGACATAAATATTTATTTATATCTACGGCAAAAACGTCATTATGACAATTCGGTGAGGATAAATCATTTTGACTCGCACCGTCGTTGCCATCTTAACTTACAAAAAAAAAGATCAATAAAGATCATCATAAAGATCAATAAAGATCATTATAAAGATCAATCATAAAGATCAATCATAAAGATCAATTCATAAGTCGAGTATAAGAGGGAAATGAAAGAAGCATAAATAAAAATTCTAAGAAACAACGGAATGTTAAAATTGAAACAACGGAATGTTAAAATAGATGTTTATACTCCTTAAAACGCTTCTTTTTCCCAACGTTCTATTTTCTCATTTATTTACTTTTTCAAAGTCTCGTTTACACTTTTGTCCCTATTGTTATATCCGATTTATGTTTCTTTATATATTATATATTTTTGCCAAAGTATTTAAATCTATTTAATACATTTCAAAATATTCATGATTAAAATTAGCACAAATGAAAAAAAATTGTCAAAGTAACAGTTAATTGCAATAACATAGTGCAATAAATTTTTATCAAATTATTATTTTTAATTTACTTGTTACTGTTTAATAATATTATTATTATTAATATGAATATTATCTTTATATAATGATTCGTTAACATTATAAATGTGGTATGTAAAACAAATGAGTTCGTTAATTATTATATTATTATATAATTCTGATTTGAAAAATATACTCGCTATATAAACAATTTTCACGACATGACCGAATTGTTTTTTTTTTAAATCATTCTGTAGCTTTATTAAAACTCAAATTTATAAACGCTTTTCCAACTCACATGGCGATGAATCATGTGACCTGGGACCTATTACATCAAAGGTGCCGACTCAGTGTTCATACTGTATATACTTATACTGTGATACTCTGCACATAGCGACACAGAATCAGACGGCGATCATCTGGCGAAATCAGTAACCACACACACTTAAGCACGAGTCCATGTCCGTGTACTTGCCTTCAACGTGTCGAGAATGACAACGAATGAGACAACGAGCTCTTCTCACACTAATCATCTGTTTCAAGCGACCGAAAATGCTTTCTCGGCCCCTCGGCCAGTAAGGGGCAAGGGGCATTCTAAATAATATATAAGTTTTAATAAATTATAGTAATAGTATATCCCTCCCAATCCAAAATATTGGGTATGGGAAAAAGTGTTCATGGCGATTTTTTAGTAAAATTAAAGTGTTTTTCTTAGAATATTGAAATCAATTTCTTTAAACCAAATATGCTCCATTATTTTCTATAATATTTTGCCATTTTTGGGGCAGAATCATAATTCCATCGCGATAGAACTTCTGTGATTTCTGATCAAAAAACTGCTTCAAGTGATTTTCACAGGCCTCTTTTAAAGTTAGCTTTACACCATTAAGAGAGTTAAAGACTGCAGAGACCTAAACAAATGATAGTCTGAGGGTGCTATGTCAGAATTATACGGTGGATGTATTAAAACTTCCCAGCTAAGTTCTCGCAATTTTTGCCGAGTCATCAAAGATGTGTGTGATCGAGCGTTGTCGTGATGGAAGACGACACCTCTCCTATTGATTAATTCTGGCCGCTTCCTCTCAATTGCTTGTTGTAATCTCTGCAGTTGTTCACAGTAGAGTTCGGAATTAATTGTTTGATTGGACGATAACAGCTCATAGTGAACGATTCCCTTCCAGTCCCATCACACACACAACATCACCTTCTTCCTCGTCAATCCAGATTTTGCGATTACTTGCGCCTTCTCTCCTTTTTTTATCCACGATCTTTTTCTAGTTGGATTGTCGTAGGTGATCCATTTTTCAGTTATCATTCTCTTCAGAAATGGTTCAATTTCATTCCGTTTTAGTAGCGTATCACAAATGTTAGTTCGATCCATCATGTTCCTAACACTCAACTCGTGAGGAACCCAAACATCGAGCTTCTTTTTATATCTAGCTTTGTGTAAATGATTTAAAACTGTTTTGTGGTCGATGCCTAGTTCCCTGGCAATCTCCACAGTGCTCACATGCTTATCACACTCGATTTTTACTATGATTTCATCGGACTTTTCGGTCGAGTGATTGGTCGACCGGAGCGAGGTTCATCTTTCACATCGAAATTTTCAGCACGAAAGTGAGCGAACCATTTCCGTGCTGCTGATTTTGATAGAATATCTTCACCGTAAATAGCGCAAATTTGTTCACAAGTCTGTGCAGCATTCTTGCCTTTATCATAGTGATACTGCAAAATGTAGCGAATTTTTTCCTTATTTATTTCCATTTTCAAAATAAAATAACTTTTGATCCACTTCATCAATTTCAATCTTTTTCGGCTCAAAACAAAGATTAAAATGTCACTTTTTAAATGCACGTCTAGTGTTGCCGACTGCTGAGCATTTAATGCCATCTAGCGGGAAAAACGCCACGAATTTTTTCCCACCTCCAATAGTATAATTATGTTATGTTAAATCATAAAACGCAACAGTTTACGAAATATTTAACTGTTTACAATTTTTCATGCGCGTTATAAGTATATCTTCTTTATAAACTCGAGTAGCAAGAATAATTCAGTAGAAGTAGCATTTTATCGGAATAAAATCATAAACCAGCATTTCTCTTCAGGAAAATCTTCGAAAGACTATCAGAAAAAAATGCGTCCCTATCAATACAAAATCGACTGTAAGTCGACTTTATATTGAATGGACTATATATATAGCTTTTAGACGTCTAAAAAATGGACGTCCGTAAGTCGACTTGGATACATCTCTAAGTCATATACTGTCCCACTTTAAAGACGACTGTAAGCCAACTTTAACTATTCTAGGCTGTGATCCGATTTATGCCCATAACGCTCATGAACAGCATTCGACCTTGTTTAACTATAGTTAAACAACAAAAACAAAATAATTAAACATTTAAGTTTTATGAGTGTAAATCGCACTAGACATCCTAAAGTCAATATTGAAAGGACAATCGTCTGTACAAAGTCGATTTACAATCGACTCTAAAGGCCTGACTTAATAAAGTCAACTTACAATTGACATATCGACGTTTGTGCTGTTTGGAACTCGAGACTTGTGAAGAAAATATGCGAAAAAAATCAAATAGTTGCGAAAAGCATAATTTTCGTTTATAAAACGAAAGATATTGATTGTATAGAAAAAAGTAGGTTCATATGAAAAATGTAGGTATTCGAAATACCTACAAAATGAGACGTGGAAGATTAAAATCGGTCTATTAGTTTAGTAGAAAAAAATAAAAAAATATCAAAAAAGATCTTTTTTTCACTCGCACTCTATTCATTGAAATTTCAATCAAAACGCTTTGCGTTTAAATTTCGCCGATGGCGAGAACACGTACATGGGCTCGTGCTTGAATGTATGACTATCAGATCGCCAGAATCAGAATCAGACTGCCGTCGCTACCGTCAGAGTTCTTGGCTGAATAATCAGGAGCCTTAAGAATAAAAACTCTTGTAACATAGTAAATATAATCAACGAATATGAATTCCACAGTTCTAAAAACTTCGTGGAAATATATTGTTTATATCGATAAAGATAATGATCATGAGGATCAAAAATTGCAAAATGCTTCTGCTTCGCTGTTTGAAACCTTTTCATTTTTTTTTCTTATTACAACGATTCGACTTTTAATTTACACGAGATAAAAATCGCGCAGCGTACGGATACAGAAACTTGTACGTCTCGCCGATGAGAGGATGGCAATCCTGGGATGCCTCCCCTGGACCGAGCAGATCAGACAAGCCGATGTATGCCCGCAGGGACACGCAAAGTCCATATACGCACCTGATGAAGATAGAGCACGAGCATAGTGATCCTCTGGCAACCATCAGCGAGACTCTAGGCGCCTTGAACACCGTAGGCAATTATATCGTTAATATGACGAGAGGCGTCGAAATCTTAAATTATCCGCCGAAGGAATTGCCCTCAGCATTGTACACCATCTCCAAAAATATTTTGGGTAATATGAAAAAAATTAATATGTTAATTAGTTGGTGAACTAGTATATTAAATTACTAAATTAATAAATTAATATATAATTATAAATTAATAAGGAATGGACAATTGTTTTTTAACTTACAATTACTCGTTACCAAAAAGTAACAATTATTACCATTACTAGTTACCGATTTTTAAAAATAACTCGTTACCGTTACTTGAGAAAGTAACTTTTTATTATTTTTCTGTTACTTTTTTAAAATCGATCGCCAATTATAACAGACCTAGAGGTTTTCTAGTCTTAAGCTACGAGTGGCTTGTGTTTAATCGTATCGTGTCCAATCGTGTGCAAAGTAACGATAAAAATAACTGTAAAATTCATTACCGTTACCAAAAAAATGTAACTTCGTTATCATTATAGTTACCAAAGAAAAAAAAAAAAATCAGTAAAGTTATCAAAAAAATAACTTGTAATTATAAGGGGCTCTGCACAATAAAAGGAACAGAGAACAGAGAACAGAGAATAAGAATTTCAACCTATCAAAAATCATGTATTGTGGAATACATAGTTTTTGATAAGTTGAAATTCTTATTCTCTCTTCTCTGTTCCCTGTTCCTTTTATTGTGTGGAGTCTCTATCTTTGTCGTTACAAATAGAGAGAAACTTGAGAGAGGACGGCCCAAAACCTATAACCGCAAAATGATGCCGCGCATTACTGCCCTCTGAAGAAGTGGATGTTATTGTAATTACATAACAATATCTATCTTTTTGCAGTGCAAAAAGATGGAAATAGATAGTTACAATCAAAACTAAAATATATATTCAAATTAATAAAGATTTCAAGCGATTTCAGCGATTTATTTCTTATTTATTATATCGATCAGTTTCTTGATAAAAAAAAAGTTTCATATTTAGCTATGACTGCGCATGTGCAATACTGTCTATTCCACATGCGCAATAGTACAGTTGAATACAGATTAGAAAAGAATAAAGATAGCACCCAGTGAAAAATGACAATGAAATCAATGTTGAATCGATGTCGATTTGATGATTTCGACATCGATTCCATTATCATTTTTCACTGAAGATGGAACAAAGAAAAAAGGGAGAGCGGACTGTGGTTCTCTTCTCTGATTGATTTCGTCATTTATAGCGCAGGATATGTATACAATACTAGTGCGGTACAATACTAGTGCGCAGCATCATATGTTCCATCACGCTCTTACTATGGGTGCATTCCGAGTTACGCATGAAATGCATGATATATCGTTTTATCCTTCTTTATTATTTGGTGAACAACAAGGACAAATAATGCATTATGCATTTCATGCGTAACTCGGAACGAGCTCCATATCCTGCTCACTTCAACGGTGCACTAAAAATGGCGACTTCCAGGTAAGTCCGCACCACTCTCTCTTGATTCTCTCTGAGATGGAATTCTCTCGAATCATTCTTAAGAAAGATGACGCTCATTTCAGTAATATTATATTTCAGTGGTTGTTTCAGAAATGTTGCTAATATATTTCGCAACTTTTATATCAAATGTCTCGCTTTTTAATTAAAATATTGAGATAACTTTGAAAACTTTCAGTTTTCTATATGAGTAACTTTTATATAAAATTTTTCTCAAAAATGCTTTGTTTTCAAAATATTTGACCAATTCCAAACGTTTTTTAGCGCCCTATAGATTTCCAGTAGAGGCATTGTATATCGGAACAAGATGGTACAATCATGAGTGAAAGTATAACTGCCTCTGTGAAACTTAAAATAATAATTTTTTTGCAATAATTTGCAATTAAAATTATATGTTTTTATTACTTATTTTAATGCAAAATATTATATTAACTTCTTTTAGTTTACGTTTTCTTATTTATATTGACAAATATTTTAATCATGAATATATTGTTAATTTTACTATCATTGGACGCATTTAATCAGGATAACTCCAGCAAATACGTCGCGCTGAAATTTATGCCACAAAAGTCAGAAAAAAATAAAAGGAGTGAGAGTAATTTTCCCGCAACTACTCTGTTACATGTCTTTATGTTATATTGTAATGTATAATGTTATGATTTCAGTTTCTTACTATTAATATTAATGAAATTATTATGAGTTGAATCGATTCGTCTGTGTTAAGTAGCATCTACTTAAAATAATTTCTACATAAAATGATTACTGTAGGAGATGCAAAAAACTTAGTGATTATTTCATGATACATGAGTGTAGAGGAATAGTAAAGTATATTGTATAAAATACATTGCATACACATAAAGTACTTTGCTCTTGTATTCTTTGTTTAGTTTGTTGTCTTGTATATTCTACCTGTTTGGGATATATGGCATTTTTAGCGAGCGGGATTTATGCAAAGTGCGTAGATTGAATTCAGTGCTAAATACAATAAACGCATTACATGAAATCATCACCTCATGTCATGACACTTGTAATACATCTGGGAAGATTGTAATTATTATTTATTATTTCATATATTTACATATTTATCATTCTTATTTCTTAATAAAACTTTAAAAACACATTTTATAAGTTATTATGTCATTTTACATCTTATTTATATGCATTATTTGTAATTTTTTTTATGAACCATACCCCCTTCTCTCTATGAATAGCCCACCCCTGGCATAAATTCAAAGGTTTAAAAAAGTTCATTTTTTAATACGAAATGTAAATATTTCGGATTTCTAATATTTTTTTCATAATAGTAGACAGTACAAAGTTTTTACTGATGTAGTTCGTTTACTTTAAACATAGTAAATAATACTTAATAAATTAAGTTTTTGATAGGTATGGATATATACCAGTATTATCCTATACAGGATACTTTATGTTTTATTTAAAATTTATGAAAATTTATGAAAAAGCTTTTTGAATGAAAATTCCTGAAAAAACTCTTTTTTGTTCTCAATTTTCATTCAGAACTTGCTGAATGAAAATTTCTGAAAAAACTTTTTGTCTTAAATTTCTTCAGATTTTATTAGTTTTTGAAAAAAATTATAAAATGAGAACTATTTACACACACACACACACACACACACACACACACACACACACACACACACACACACACACACACACACACACACACGTGTAGATACAATGCTAAAAAAAATTATGGTATAGAAAAATTTTGGCCAAAATTGATTAACTTGGACGAAACTTAGCGAAAAATTTATCGTAGGATAACATTTTTTTTTAATCAAAGCTTAAAATCATCATTTTAAGATCTGTGCTATGATCAGATTTTAAGTTTAATGCATCCCTACTGTAATTTTCAAAATAAATGATGGTGTGTTTGTCATATTGAAAATTGCAAAATTTGATGGAATATACGAAATTTATAAAATTTTTTAGGGGAATGCCATTTGCAGCGAATATAAAATTCCAATTTTCTCCTTTAATTAAAAAAAAAAAACC